ATCTTTACAACAGCTTTTTTCAAACAGGTGTCCTCTTCCAATGCTTTGGACTTCAGTTCCCATCAGCCTAAGTCAACATGGATGCTGGGATCTATAGTGCAAAACACCTGGAATATACAAAGCTGGGAAAGTATGCTTTACAGATTGTTTCCTTGGTCCATTCTTGGTGACAAGATGCGCCATGTCATAGATAAATGAAAATTAGAAAAGCAGCAGAGAGCAGTATAAGCCATACAAAAGACAAAACCCAAGAAGTTTTTTTTTTTACTATATTTTCACAGGTGTGTGTGGTGGGGACACAGGGGAGGGCCTTCTCTGTTGCTGCTCCCAGACTTTGGAACTCCCTCCGATTGTAGGCCAGGCTGGCCCCATCTTTGCTGTCCTTCCACAAGTGGACAAAGACTTTTCTCTTCAGGCAGACTTTTCCTTACTGACTGGTTGTCTGAGTGGGTCTTTGAAAATGGGCTGTCGTGCCCTACTGCGCTGAGAGGTGTTGTTAGTATTGGTTCAATTTAATGTTTTTAATATGAATTTTATTAATTATTTTCAATATTTGTATACTTACTGTTTTTAGCTTTCAAATATTGTCTTTTAATGATGTAAGCCACCCCAGATCTTTCTTAAGGAGAAAGGTGGGATTAAAATATTATAAACAAACAAGCAATGTATGTAGCTACTCTTCAAAAAAAATGTCAGGATATTTTATATAACAGTGGTCCCCAACCTTTTTGGGACCATAGACTGTTTGGGGGCTCCGGGAGCTCCCAGAAGTGCCCTGCTTCAGAGTTGTCTCCCTGGTCCTGGAAGGCACAGGAGCAACTCCGCCGATGACCCTCCCTGCTTGGTAGGGGCTGGGTCCCGCCTGTGCCCCCGAAGTGCCCACATGTCCAAAAGGGAAACCCTCTCCCTGCCTGGCAGTCTTCTCCATCTGAAGCAGCAGATCTCATGGGGTTATGGATTTGGAGCCACCAGGGCTTCTGGTTTTAGGTCTCTCTCTCTCACCCCCACCATCCCCCATTCTTTGTGGGTCACCTGGTGAGGTGCTCCGAAGCGCTCCGGTGATGTGCCAGGGAGGGAGGGAAGGAGAGGGCAACGTGGAGACCATACCTTGAGCGCCTCATCGGGCCACCACTCCAGGCGCCGGTGCCACTACCGCTGCTGTTGCCTCGCCCTCTCTGCGGCTGAGGTGAAGGAGGACCCCTGCTCGCAACCTGGCAGCGCACTTCTTCCTCCTGCCTGGCACTCCTCTGCTCCCTGCCCAGACGTGCCCCCTCCCCCTGGTTTCTATTCGCAGCTGCAGAGAGCTTGCACCCATCCGTCCGTCGGTCTTGACGGTCTGTCGCTCGTTCCCACCCTCTCTCTTCCTTTCCTTTCCCTTTCTTGCTGCTGCTTGTTTGCCGCTTATGCTGAGGCTGAAGAGCCGTTACCAATAAGGGGGAACTAACGTTCTGTCTGAAAGAACAAAGTGGCCAGTACCAGGCACTGCCAGCCCACCCGACAGCGAATGGGGAGCCGTGAAAGCATGACACGTCCACCTGTGAGAGCAACACGCCCACCCATGAGCATGACACACGCCTCTACAAGCACGACACACCCCCTTATGAATGTGGGTGCGGTGGTGGAGATCCATGTCCGTGGCCCAGTTAAAGGAAGCCCACGGACCGGCACCTGATCTAAACAAACCACACAGGGAGTGCCGCCAGATCGCTTTACACCTAAATCTGTGGAGAAAGTTCTATCCTTAATGGAGCTTCCAATGGGAAATAAATTAGTTCTGGCCCATACCCCATTCCCCACTGCTGATTTATTTAACTGGAAACAAGATCTTCCACCATAGCGAGAGGCCCTTCAGAAGTACCTGGACTTGATCCAACGGATCATTACTATTCACCACTCTTCTGAGCAGCCTCCTAAGTGAAGATGAGAAATGAAATGGCAGGCTCTTGCTAAGACCTACACCTAGTATATTACTCATAGGGTTCAACAAATAGCCAATGGAAATGGAACAGTTGATTGGCCTGAAGCAGCAGCCCTCATAACCCATGTTATTGATCCCAATCCTAATAAGCTTGCTGGGGCCCGCCTGCTGAAAGCAGCAAGAAATGCTGTACTGTAATTCATGGCCTCAAACTAGGAGTGCCAAAGGCTGTGAAACCTTCACAGAGTATATGAAATTGTTTTAAAAACTCCCAGGGAATCCCCAAATGAATTCCTGATGAGGCTCAAGGATGGTTTTCACTGGTACACTCACCTTGATCTGGATTTTGAATCAACAGCCAGCTGTGCTACAGGTGCAGCTCCAAAAGCACACAACCATGTGTGACTGTAGCGACTGAACTGCCCGAGTCCTGCAGCTGGTCTGGTCAGACAGCTATGCATCAGCTGTAGCACAGCTACACAAATGCACTTTGCACATGTCTCTTTGTTGTCTGTCTACTCATTGTCTGAGATACAAGGGTGCTTCTGAGGAGAGGTACCTGCTCAATAAAATGCTATGTACAACAACTCTGAGTCAAGTTTCTTTATTAGACAAGGTAGTTCAGGGCCATGCTCCTAGGGAAGGATATTGTGGGGAAAAGGGAGGAACACAAACCCTATTTTCATTGATAATGATGGGAAGGGTGGGAAGGAATGCATGGTTTGCCAGTCATGAGCTGTGTGAACAGCATGACTTATGAGGCTGAGGGGGCTGGAAAGACACTGGCATGGATGCAGGTTGGTGCCCTAATCATCAGTCAGGAGGTAGGGGGTGGGCAAGATATCACTGGGATGGATACAAGCTGGCCCCACCAATCATGAGCCAAGAGGCAAGGGTGGGAGGGATTCAAATTGCTCCCCCAATCATGAACCAGGAGGTAAGGGGCAGATGGATTGACAGGGGTGGAGATTCAAGCTGGCCCTCCAATTATAAGCCACAAATCTAGTATTGTAGAAGGGACCTAAGCTGCTCAGTCGTGAGTGAAGAGTCCAAGTGCAAGCTCAACATTACCCAACCAGGAAGGAGAGCAGGAAGATGGACGGTGAAAGGGCCAGGCCTTGAACTGTGTAGAGTTGTGTAGAATTGTGTAGAGTTGTGTCACATGGACAACAGACTATAGGATCCCTGGAAAGCACAGCCTAAGAATTCTTGCCTAAAGTATAACTTTACGCAGCTCTAGTAACTAAGCTTGCCACTAATCATGAGCTAGGGCAGGGGGAAGAGGGAGTAATGTGAAGACATCCCATATAGATCAATAAACAGAAGTTTTCTTTGGCTGCCTCCTGTGGTTCTCTCAGACAGTGGGGTTGGTGGATGTTTAAATGAGAGAAAGGCAGATGTCATGGGGGCACTTTGACTGCAACAGATGCACTAGGAGGGGCTTAGCCTTCTATGGCGCAAACTGGTGTTGCAATGGGTTTCATGGCAGCTGCAGAAAGGACTTGCATTTGGGGGAAATAGCACACTGTACCTTTAACAGGCA